TTAGAGCTTGCAACTGAAGGAGCTCTGCTGAGAGCAGTAAGGAGAACTTTAGTCTCCATAATTTAAGCTGAGAGCAGAATCCGTCCTCAGAAAACACATCCCAACCACATCCCACCAGGGCAGAGCATTTCTGTGCCCACTTTTGGCTCCAGCACACACTGTGGTGCCCACAGCCACCTGCCATGTCCAAAGGTGGACCCAGAGTCACCAACCTTCTCATGGAAACAATTCTGAAACAAATAAAATCCCTTGAGACAAATAATACAAGGTGATGAGGTAAATAACCTTAAGGAGAAAAAAGAGCAGGTCAGATGGGACTTGGAGCAACCTGGTCTATGGAACGTGTCCCTGCCTGTGGCAGGTGGTGGGACAAGACAATCCTTAGGGTCTCTCCCAGCCCAAACCATTCCAGGATTCTGTGATTCTGTGAAAATGCAGTTTTCACTCTGAGGTTACTTTGGGATCTACGTGGGACAGTAACTGCTGCAAAGGTGCACCCTGAGCACTGCTCAGCTGTTTCTCCACCCTCTCCTGGATATCCCTACCCATCTCATATCCTTAAAGCAGGAACAGAACAAAGAGATCAAAGAGCAATGAGAAGCGCTAAGCTGAGTTTGTGAACTCTTGGAGTGATGGACTCATGACATGACTTCTCTTCCTGCCCTACTGATGTCACTGGGTTTGCCATCAGCCCCTGTCCTGCCCCTCGTGAGCTCATCCTGGGAACTGGGATGCTCCATCTTCTCCTGAACCCTCAACTTCAATGCAGACTCTAGAATTCCTGTACAATGACAAATCTAGCTGGAGTCACTTCCCTGCTCCTCCCTGCCTCCATCTAAGAGGGTTCCCATCCCAGGGAGTTGGGTGGGGCTGCCAGGACATGCTTAGTGGGACAGACAGCACAGAAGTTTCAAACCTGAGGTCCATGGATGCTTCTCCAGCTCTTGCCCCCCATGGTTACACCACTACATGCTGATATCATCCTACCGTTTTCCAAGCTGTTAAGATGTGTGGAAAGGCTTGAAAATCTGACCCACAAACCAAGATGTTCAAAGCCAGAGTGAAAATAAACAGCTCCTGATGTTGCTGCTGTTGTTCTCAGGGATAATGGGAGAGTGGGGCTGGGGAGGGGGGAGGGCTCTGATTCATAATTTCTCAGCCCACAATGTTTACAGCGCTTAGGCTGGGAAAAATACCTGTTCACAAAACGATCCTCAATAGGCTTCATTTTCTCCTTACTGCCATTGCTTAGTAACAGCTCTATTTTTAAATGCTAAGAGAGTAATAGACCAAAAAAATTGGGAGTTTACTCAGTCTCTGATCTAACGGGAGTTAAACTCAATGGGATGTGGCCTTTGAGATGGGAGGGCTGGGCTGGGTGTGGGAGAGCTGTGGGCATGGTGAGCCCTGGGCTGGTGCACCAGAGGTTGTTGGTGCCAGGATCTGCCTCCAACAACCTTCAACTTTTCCAGCTGCGTTAAAAAAAAAACAAAAACAATAAAATCTGTGCGGTCCTGAGTGCTGTCAGCCCCTGGTGACCTCCTGGAGCAGGTAGGGAAAACCTGTCCGTGTGAGCGATGGGACTTCCCTGGGGCAGCTACAGGTGGGCTGGTGAGGAAGGAGAGTGTGGGTGCAGGAAGCTGAACTTGAGAAGCAGGAGCAGGAAGATCACCCTCCTTCCTTGGGTGATCTGCCTCCGCTCCAGTGTCCCTTTGGAAAGAAATCATAGAATCATGGAAATTACAGACTGGTTTAGATTGGAAGGGACCTTAAAGACCACCCAGTTCCACTCCCTGCCATGGGCAGGGACACCTTTCACTATCCCAGATTGCTCCAAGCCCCATCCAACCTGGCCTTGGACACTTCCAGGGATGGGGCAGCCCTGTGCCAGGGCCTCACCACTCTCACAGGAAAGGATTTCTTCCCAATATCCTATCTGAACCTACCCTTCTTCAGCTTAAAGCAAATATATTTCTAGGAGTATCCAAACCTCCTAAAGTGCCTTCCTGAGCATCTGATTTGGGAAACAGCTTTTCCAAACCACGTGGATTTGAGAGCACTGCCCATTCATCCCGCTGCCTGAGCCCTGCCTGGCCCCAGAGCTGCACTGGGACGGTCGAGGCCACCTCCTGCCCATAGGATCTCTCCTCATAAAAAATATCAGGATGAATGGGATTAGTTGTTTTGGATCAACCCCTGTGGCCCATCCACTGAAGGTCATGAAATTTTATTCACTTCCCTGGGCTTTGCAGCGGCAGCGGATTTCCCTCCGCCCAGGTCTAGTGATCAGTATTGATTCTTGAGGATACAGCAGGTAAACTCATGGAAATCCCTCGGGAACGTGAATGTGCTTAGCCAAAGGAGAGCCCGGGGCCAATAAAGAACTGGGCTTTCTGCTCACAGGTTGTCCCTGAAGCCTTGTGCCACCATCGCCTATCCTTGTGGTTTTAATCTATTTCCATAAGGAATAAGGTATGCCAAAATGCCAAAAATCCGTGGATCGGTGGCCGATGAAATGCCAAACCAAGGCTCAGGGGTTTGGTAACCACAAAGCTGTTCACTGTATGTACATTCCATTGCCACAGATCTTCCTCCTGCTGCAAAATGATCATCACAAGAAAGTCATAAAGCAGAATGGAGATGGCTGGTTTATTTTTGAGATCTCCCAGTGATGCTGCTGTGGGAGCCCTGCCAGGCTGCAGCTGCTGCCAGCTCCTGTGCCCTGCCCATGGAGGGGCCCTGGCAGCGCCGTGTCCTGCAGGACATGGAACCTGAGCATGGCAACTCCTCAAAAATCAGTGCAGAGGGAAAAGCAGGGTGAGGTACCAACATCCAGAACCACAGGAATGATTTAGAGCAGTTTTGGTAGATGTCAGAAAAACAGGTGTTTAAAAAGAAAATGATGAAAGGTGAGTTATGGGAAGAGTCCTGAGGGGAAAAACTGCGGTTTCCCAGGACATTTAAAGCCAGAGGGACCATAACAGACAGAGGATAAAGCTGGATCACCTGATAGATGGTTTACATTGCTCATGTCTGTGAGGTTTGTGTTGGCTCTTCCCCCAGAGAGTGGTTGGGCACTGAACAGGCTCCCCAGAGCAGTGGTCACAGCACCAAGGCTGCCAGAGCTCAAGGAGTGTTTGGATGATCCTCTGGGGCACGTGGTGTGACTCTTGGGGATGGTACCATGAAGGGCTGAGGGTTGGACTTGATGATCCTTGTGGATCCCTTCCACCTCAGCATGTTCTGTGATTCTGTGAAATATTTGCTCTTGGACATTTCCGCACCTCATGGCCACCTCACCATCGAACTCTCCTTTGTAACATTTTTTTCAGTGCAGCTTTTCTGCCTCCTCCTTACACACATGTGCTGTTTCACACACCAGCATGTGGCTGAGCATCATGGAATCCCAGAATGGGTTGAGTTAGGAGGGACCTTAAAACTGCTTTAGTTCCTTAAAGACCCGTCAAATCCATTACCAGGTCCTGGCTTGTGCACGGCACAAACCCCCAGCATCCCCAAGAAGAGCACGGCTCTGTCTTCCCTGCATGGCCACATGAGTTCATACCTGCCACAGGATTATCATTTATCACTAGTTTTTCCTGACCCTTGGGGTTGGCAGCACTCCATGACCAGGAGCCTGTCTATGGTGGGGCAGCAGCTGCCAGAGGTCTCGGCCCTCCCCCCTTCATCTCAACGCCTGTATTTTAATTTTAGAGGTAGAAAGAATTCAAGTATCTTAAAGGTCAGAGAGATATGAAACAGGGAATAAACACAGCCTGTTTCTGGGAGGATATAATGGAGCACATGGAGAGTATTTGTTCGTGCTGCAGTGTCTGCAATGTATTTTTGACACACGTTGCTGCAGAGTGCAGCCCACTGCAGCAAAGGAGGGAAGGCGAATTTCCTTCCCTCTGCGCTCGGTGGAGAGCACCGTGTGTGTGCTTTGATGAGAGGGACTGCAAAAATGTAATAGCCAACAACTTTGCCAGTACTGACAGAAAACACTGGTGGGGAGCCTCTGCATCAAAGCAATTCTAATTTCCCCACGCCAGCAGCGGAGTTAGGAATGACCTTCATCTGCTCTTCATTCGGGCGGCTCTGACAGGGAAAGTCATGCATGAATTGTGGTGAATTCAGATGAAATTATGTGTTTGAGAGACAGCTGGGATTGGGTTCGAAGCAGATATTTAAATACTTCTTTTACTGGATAGACCTAGAGAGCTCAGCTTCTCCAGGGAGGAATTTAAATAGGAGAGGAGGTTTCTGTGCACCACCAGAACATCAGATTTTTGGGAGCAGGAAACATGGCTGGGAGGAAACAAAATGGCTGGGAGAGGATTAGGGATTCATCTGACAATGGTCCTGGCCCCTGGGGCCAGCACTGAACATCCCAGTGGCCTTCATGTGTCACGTGTGGTATTCACAGAATCATGGAATCCTAGACTGGTGTGGGTTGAAAGGGACCTTAAAGCTCATCTCATTCCAGCCCCTGCCATGGGCAGGTACACCTTCCATTATCCCAGGTTGCTCCAAGCCCCATCCAACCTGGCCTTGGACAACTTCCAGGGATGGGGCAGCCACAGCTTCTCTGGGCAACTGCCAGGGCCTCACCACCGTCACAGGGAAGGATTTATTCCCAACACCTCATTTAAACCAGCACATGGAATCCTGGAATTGTTTGGCTTTAAAAAGACCTCAAAGCTCATCTTGTTCCACCCCCTTGCCATGGGCAGGGACACCTTCCGCTAGACTACAGGCTATGTCCTGGAGGAGGAGATCAGGCTTGTCCCAGCTCCTCTCCTGGATTCTTTTGTCTTTCTGATGAGCAAGGCAAGAGTGAGCAGTTTAAGGTCTCTGGTGGTTATATTTTATAACAGGTTTTTAAAGTGCTTCCAGATGATATAGATTAAATAATTTCACTATTAACTAGCAGAAATAAGTTGTTCCATTTTGAAGAAGGGTTATAACTTTTGATGCCCATGTCAGATACTTCAGAAAAATTAACTTTTTCCCAATATACTTTCCATTCTTTGACGCACAACAGGCCCCAGGGATGCAAATATCCCAAGTTATTCCAGAGAGTTCTCCAGCCCCTCAGTGCTGATTGTCCTGTGTTTCTTCTCCATTTTTAACATCAGCCCTTGCCAAAGTCTCCTGTAAACCATGAGCTTCTCCAACTCTCAGAGTTCACTGTGAGGAAGGAAAGCTCACAAGGCGTGGGCACATCCTCTGATGGAAGAACTCTTCATGTCTTCTGATGGAAGAGCTCCAGCAATATCTCATAGATAATGACAATTATCAATCAGCCACACACTAGAGATGAGGAGGGAAGGTGGTACCAGGGACTTTTTGGGGTTCCATGAAGATTTTTCTTCCTTCCAGTCCTAGTTTTTCACCTCTCTTCATGGTCTTCTAAATTCTGCTACAATGAGGAGGGTGGAAAGGACAGTTAGGTGAAATGACCAGCTGCTTCTCCTGACTATCACTGCACTTTGCAGCCAGTTTTTTCATGCACAGAGATCTCACACCCTTTTCCTTCAAAATGCTGGACAGTGGGAAGGCCAGGAGCGGGGTGTCAGTGGTGGTGTCAGTGGCAGGGCAGTGATGTGCTGACTCTTGACCTGGGCAGGGATGTTCCCACCCTTTCCATTCCATAGAGTCCTAGAAGAGTTTGGGTAGGAAGGGACCTTAAGGATCATCTAGTTACAATCCCGGTCCTGTCCCTACCCTCTCAGTTTTGCTTTTCACCTCCAACCCTCCCAAGGAGAAGGCCCATTATTGATCATTCACATTGTTTCCAAAGTCATTGATCTTCCTGCCCTGAACTGACGGGTCCCCTCATGCCCCACCTGGAGCCACCATCACCCTCTCCCAGCACCCAGCTGGACTCTCAGTTACCATCCCCTGTGCCCTACTTAGAGGATGACCTAAAAATCAGCCTCTGTCTATAACACCACAGCCATGACTCATCTGCTCTTCTCAATCTTACAATTAAAGCCTCCAGAAATGGAGACTGTCATTGTCTGGGAATATATCAAGTAGCACTTGAGAAGACTTAGTAAAACCAGAGGGGGGAAAAATATATTGGGAATTCTACAGGGAACATTTTTGAAGCTGTGTAGCTCCACCATTTATTAAATAGAGGGATCTGTGTCCTTAAAACTGTTCCTTCTCTATATATTCCAGACTTTTAAAATAAAAATAAATTTATTTCAGGGTTATCAGTCTGAAGCATGTGATGCTTGGATTTACCCCATGATCTTCCCAGCTGGTGTGAGTCCCACAGACACTTCTGAGCCTAAACTTGCAGAACCCCCTTAGGGAACACATCCAGCTTTCCTACGAAATTTGCTGAAGGAATTTCATGATTTTGAAACTTTCCTTAGCCAGGCCTACAAATGGCTAGAACACAGCACAGAGGGTGTTGTTTATGTGGGTATATCAGTGGAAATACTGAAGTCCATGTGGTGAAGCCCAGGTTAAGGACTTGTTCGACTGGTCAACTTGAGTTTTGAATTGAGCAGCATTCAGGGATGTGCCTGGGATCCACATTTTTTCAGGGAGTGAGTATTCTGGCCTGCCCTTTGTTTGCCTTGATTTTCCTATTTCCACTGAAGTCAGTGAAACCACTATGAAACTGGTGTAAGACAAAGGGAACTGGGGTTTTAAGTCCCATGTGCCCCAGCCTTCCCCTTTCCAGGCCCTGGCCTGGGGTTTTTTTGTCCCCCAAGAAGGTTCCCAGCTCCCCCATGGCACAGCTCTGTGTTTCTCCCACTCCACACTTTCCTGGGGAGCAAGGTCTGCCTGTAAGGACTTGACTCATCCAGAGTTTTTCAAGTTGCAAGTCTTAGTGCCCTGCAAAACCCTGGAGATGTTTATCAGGAACATACATGAAGGGAGAAGAACTCCCTGTGACAAAAAAGGCATATTTCATGTTACAGTGGATCTCCTGGGAGACAAATTTCCATCTACTGACTCCTAGAAGCTGTCCCTGCCATGCCAGTGCTCCTTGCCAACGGCAATTTCCCATCTCCAGGGGGCCCAGCCCCCAACACAAACATTCCTTGGGCAACACCAGTTCTACGTGCAACTGCCTGTAACAGCAAGGACTTCTCCTTGCTTTTGATGTTTCTACTGAAAAATATTTGATGTCCTGGTCACTCCCTGCTGGAGGTCCCAAGGGTGCCAGAGGTGGGTGCCGTGCCAGGAGCTGGGGGGGCTGTGGGTGCCGCTGGTCGCGGCACTTGACAGGGAGAGGCTGACATTGGACACCCCTCCATGTCATCCCTGAAATCACAGAATCCCAGACTGGTTTGGGTGGGAGAGACCTTAAAGCTCATTCAGTCCCACCCCCTGCTATGGGCAGGGACACCTTCCACTAGACCAGGTTTCTTCAAGTCCTGTCCAACTTGGCCTTGGAGACTTCCAGGAATGGGGTGGCCACACCTTCTCTGGACAACATCAGAACATAGAATGCCCACTTCAAGCACTACAGAAATGTTGAAGCAAAACTTGCCTGGGCCAAATTTCAGTTCCCACTTGGAGATGGTGAGAGTGGGAGAGTCTGGGAGTGTCCCCAGCACTGGTGTTCCTGCACCAGTGATGGGGAGAGGTCACATCTCTGTTCAGGGATTAGCCATGTGGAACAGGGCTGGAGAACTCACTGCTGGCATAAACCCGTCTGTGATCCTCTTCCAGCTCCTGCTAAATGCTTTCCGTCTCTGCTGCCAGGCAGATTCCACAGTGCTGGAAGAGCGAGGTGATGACCTTACTCAGCACAGAGCTGTAAAGCCACCGTGTCACAGAGGAAGTCACATGGCATTGGCACGGTCTGCCCAGGGCTGCATGTGGCAGTAGCTGCCCCAGCCAGCCCAGCTCTGCACGGGGAAGGGTGAACAGTGAATGGGACACGGTGGGGCCAGAGCTGAGGGATTGCTGTGTTTGGAGACAAAGAGTGGGAACCAAGGAACTGAGCAGCACCAGCACCTGCTGCTGCAGCAGCTGCTCTGTGGAACACCAGGAGAAGCTGCAGGAACCCAATATTGTGGGCAGTGATCTAGTGGAAGGTGTCCCTGCCCATGGCAGGGGGTGGAACGAGATGAGCTTTAAGGTCCCTTTCCAAACCATTGTGTGCTTCTGTGAAGCCCCAGGAGGTCATCAGCATCACCCTCAGGTCACACACAAAAGCCAAGGTGGGCTGACGGGAGTGGGACCGGACAGTCCCGCACGTGTCCCGCTCTCTCTCGCAGTGGGTGATGGAGGGAGGCAGGACAGCCTCATCCACGGGCAGGATGACCTGCGAGGTGTTCCTCATCACCCACGAGGTTTTATCCTGTGGCCTGCGACACGCCAGGCCCTCGGGGGGACGCTGAGCTGTCACCGTCGCTTCCCCGCTCCCGGGAGGCTGCGAACCCCTTCCCGCTGCCCGGCTCCGGACTTCGGCCAAAGTGCGGGAAATGGCTCCTGCCTGGGGAAAAAGGACGGACACGGCGTGCGGGGGCTCTCAGACAGCGGGGCTTCGGGGGCTTCCCCCCTCCTCGCAGCGCGGGGCTGCCGCGGCCCCGCCGGGGATGCTCCGGCCGCGGAGCGCTCCGTCGCGGGGGGGGGGGGACGGGCGGGGCTGGGCGGCACCGCGTGCGCGCATCGCCTCGCACCGCTCAGCACCGCACGGCACCGCTCCGCACAGCATCGCCCCGCACAGCATCGCCCCGCTCCGCACCGCCCGCGGGAGGGGGCACGGCCGCGTCCCGCCCCCCGCACCGCCCCTGCGCCGCCGCGGAGCGCAGCGCGGGCGCGCAGCCGGACCGGACCCGCCCCGCCGCCGCCGCCGCCACCGCTTTGTGTCTGGGCGCCGCCCGCGGAGGCGGAGGCGGGCCCGGCCCTGGGCTCCGCGGCGCGGCGGGGCGGGCGGCGGGACGGCCGCGGGCAGCCCCCGGCGGCGCCCCCGCAGCGTCCGCGCCCCCGCACCGCGGCTCGGCCGCGCATGGACGCGCGCTCCCGCCTGCACCGTGAGTACCGCGGGGCCGGGGGGGCTCGGGATCCCCCCCAGGGATGCCCGTGACAGGGATGCCCGTGCCGCACACCCACCGGTGCGCGGGGCTGGCGGGGAGCGAGGGGCGCGGGGCGGGAGCGCCGGGCGCGGCGGAGCCTCTGCCGAGGACAAAGGAGCGACAGGAGCGGGAGCGGGGGCGGCGCGGGGCTCCCGGGGCTCCCCCGGCACGCTCCGGGCACGGACCGTGCGGTGCCGCCGCCTGCGCGCAGCCCCCGCACCCCGGGGACGTTTCGGGCGCGTCTCCGCGGGCGTTCCCGTTAATCTGCCTGGAACGGCGATCGGGCTCAGCACAGCTCCTGGAATATTCTGCGCCCGTTCCAGCGCCGGTGCCACCCTCCCGAGGCACCGGCGGTGCTGGAGATGCCTCCGAGCAGGGACAGCGCTGCCTTCCGCGGTCCCGCGTGGCTTTGGTGCCGTGTCCCTCTGCCAGCACGATCCCACAGCCTGGCCGCTTTGGAGAAGGCCAGCTGAAGGGTGCTGAAGTTGGTTGCCCAGGATTAGGGGAACGATGGGGCCATGGGGACCAGCGCATCCCTGTTCTGGGGGATTTGGGAGAACCTGGGCAGGGGGCTGGGCCATGGGGGCTCAGGGCCTGCATCCCCCCCCCGGACCTATCTCCGTGTCTGCCGAGGGGACCAGGAACCGGCTGGGTTTCCTCGTTATTCCTGGGAGGCTGGACCAGGAATGGTCACGCCTGTGAGAGCCCTGGTGAAAGTTCCTTGATTTTTGGAAAACAGAAATGATCCGTATGGATCTTTTTGCTGTTTCTGTCACTCCAGTGAAATCCCTTCATTTTGCTCTTGTACATCTGTGATTTTCAGCCCAAAACTCCGGCCACGTGCCATTCACGGTTTTAACCTGAGGTGTTGAGTGATCATAATCCTTAGGGACAGGTGAAATACAAAGCATTTTCCTCATCATTCCATGACAAGAGAAGTGACTTAATGTGTTGGATTTTGCTGTTCCGCATCTGCTCACTCAGCTCCTCTTGGAGGATGGATCCTTGCCATGGCAACCTCCACGGCACAGATTGCAGCCACTTTGGGAAGTAGTAGGACTTGGTAAAGAAATAGGAACAGCTGATCTCAGAACCCCCAGAATTAGGGATAAATTGTACATCTTGGAAAGTGTGACCTCTTTTTGGGAATATTCACATTGCTTCAGTTCATAGGTGCGGGGGTGGGAAGGGAATCGGCCTTTGAGGAGGTCATGGATCTTTCTTTTCATGCAGCTGCAGTGAAAGGAGGGTTCTTCATTTTCCAAACAATATTAATGACTGTGGTTTATGTCAAAGCCGTATTAAACTAATGATCTTATAATGAAATAGCTCGATGTGTCATGTCAGCTTGGTGCCTCTGTGATCTTCACCCTTTGCCTGGATTTGATCTGTAAAACTTTTCCTTTGATAAACTGGCATTTTTTAATTTTTTAATTATCTCACAGAGGAGGGCCTTCCCTGTGTCTTCAGTTATACAAATCTTGTGAAATGCTTAAAAAAAGGGTTTTACATTACACCAATTTTGGCAGTTGCTGGAGTGACAGGAGCCATTCCTGAGTGCCTGATAGATTGGAGCAGGCTCAGGGAGCTGCAGCTCGGAAGCAAACGCTGGGCTGGAGGCGGCTGCTCGGTCACGGCTCCACTGGTGGGAGTCCCTGGGAAGGAGGAGCAGTGCCTGGCCAGCAGCAAATTTCCCATCCTTGGGCCTGCAGTAATTTATAAATGCTTCTTAAAAAATTCATTAAAAATTTCTTGAAGTTGTAGCTGCCTACAAATAGGATTTTAAAAGGGAGGTTGCCCATTGTCTCTGGAATATTTCAAGGAAGCAGCGTGTGCACTGTTAGAGCCACCAAACTTCGGATTAAAGAGGAATTAATTGTCCCTGAGGTACTTGCAGCTGTACAAGGCTTTGCTGTGAGCGTCGATTTTAAAGCAGAGACGCAAAAGCAGGGATGCAAAATACAGCAGAGCTTCGGGATTCATCCCAGAGCCAGGGAACAGGGATGGACCCACCTCAGAGCTGCTGCCCGGGCAGGGCAGGCTGTGGCTGTGTGATAGCAGCTCCAGAGCTCCCCAAAGTCCCCTTGAGCACCCCAGAGCCCCGTGGCCACTGAGTCACCCCTGGCTCACACCATCCCCAGTGCCATCACCCAACCACTGTGGTGCTGTCGGAGTCTCAGCTGGGAGGGGCCTTGGGATGGGGGATAGGAAAGGGGATTGATGTGCAGCAAGGGTTTCCTAGTGCTTCAGAAATAGTGAATTTTACCCTTCTGGACATTCAGCTCCCACCCCAACTCCCTTGACCTGCTGGAGGGTGGTGGGGAGTGAAGGCTCCATCTCTGGAGCTGCAGGAGCCCCAGCTGTGTCTGGAACAGCCAGTCCTGGGTACCCCCCTTGGGCAGGGCTGGTGACCTGGGAGTCAAACCTTCTGGAAGTGGGTGTAGGAGGAACCGCTCACCTTTGGCAAAGGGGTGTGAATCCATCAGAGTGATCATCAGCACTTTGAAAATCCACTGGGACACCAGCTTGGTGTGTGGGAACCCACACCCACCACCCTGCAAATTGTCCCAGAAACAGCCAGTGCCTCTCTATAATCCAAATTAATGATCTTGGTGGATCTAAGCCGAGCACCTCGATGTTGTACCAAGCCCTATTTAAAGATTTGTAAGAGCCACCGTGGCTTTCAAATGGCTTGGTTTTCATCTCAGCTCTCTCTAATTTTAGCGTGGTTTCTGGAGGCTTTAATTTGCCGGCACGGCAGATTGCATCAAATCCTGGGACGAGCCTTGCAGAACTGAGCTTTTTCTCAGAGCTTTTTTTTTTTTTGCCTCGGGAATGCAGCAATTTGTTGATGGCAGAGAAATCCTTCATGTGTTACTGGGCAGAGCCACCCCTTTTGGTGTGACCTACGGAGAAGTTATGGAAGAACGGAAGGTGGAGGGATGTGATGGACGGGAGGAGGGATGGCTGGAAGGAGCTGGGAATCGGGCTAGAGAGGTCTGACAGCCCAGGGGAGAGGCTGCCGCTGGCAGGACTGTGGCTAAGTGAGAAATTAGGGAAGTAAAGGAGCGTTAAATCCCAGTGCTCTGGGAAGGGGGAGCAAATACCATGTTAATGGATCAAGTTATGGTGAATAAAGAAGAAAGGAAGCTGTAAGCTCAAGAAGGCTTTTTTTCTTATAAGGAGGAGAACACTCTTCATCCTTTAGTTCACTTGTATCCAGAGTGAATGACTTTATAGCTACAGGAGTTTAAGCTTATTGGAGGAAAATGCCTTTTTTTTGCCTTTTTTTTTTTCCCAACTATTTTACTGGGGAAAGGATTTGCAAATGAGAGTTGGAGCAAAGAAAATCTGCGGAGAGCAAGTTTAACCATTTCTGAGCATAGGAGCTGGTGGCCAGTGGGCAGAACTGGTTTGAATCTGTCCAGGAGAGCAGCACCGTTTGTCCAGATGCAGCAGTCGGGATGTGGGAACAAAACAGTGGGACTGTGAGTGCTGTGCATGTTCCCATGGATGGGAAACCAACACTTGGCTTTGTGGGATGTCAATTGTCTGTCACTGCTCTGCTTTCAAGGGTGTTTGAGATGTAAAGACATCCTTGTGAGATCTTTGCTGCTTGGTGTGTTGCTCGAGTTGGGTGCCTGGGAGCTCTGGCACGGACTATAAATAGAACAATGGATGGAGCAATTTGGCAGGTATAAAATGCGGAATTAAGGAGCGTTGTGACAAACACACACACCTGGGTGAGCTCGGGAGCTGACGCTGTGTGAGGGGCCGGGCAGAGCATCCCATCTGCTCCCTGCCACCGGAGTCACGGAGCTGCTGCTCCACATCCCGCAGAGAGCTGCCCTGGAGTGGAATTTAAAGCTTTGCTTGCCTTGGATTGGTTTGGACTTGGATTGGTTTTCACCTGCTGACTTTAAAGTCCCGCTTCATCGGTGACTTTTTTTGCACTTTTTCAATTTTTGCTGCGGTCACCGCAGAGAAGCTTGTGGAAGGAAGGGATGGCGTGGCACGACAAAGGTGGCATTCCAGAGGCTGTTCTGAGAGGACCTCGCTGCCGAAATGGATTTACCCCCACGCTGGGTTACAGCAGGAGCTCTGTGCGGGGCCGGCGGCGGCGCTGCCTGGCCCTGCTGCGGCGCATGACCCGCAACTGCAGAGGTGCTGGACTGGGCTGGGTGGGAGGGGATCAAACCTGGTGGGAGCTGAGTTGTGGGGCTGAGGAGCTGTTGGCAGGGGGACCTTGGTGGCTGTGGTGGCCGAGGAGCCAAGCTGTGGCTGGCAGAGCTCCTCTCCGGCAGGCCCAGGAGCTCTGTCTCCATCTCTTCTCAGGTCAAACCCCACCTGTCCCTCCTATTCTCAGCTTCTCTTGCATCACTTTATTCTCCAATATGTAAAAATCAGCTCCATTCAGACACCATATGTTCTATTTTTAATGTCATGTTCCATCTCTTCACTGTTGCCCTCCTCAGTGTTGACCTTTGAAGAGTTTTTGGGGCAGAGGCTCCCCACCCCTTGTAGAGGCTTTGGGAGATGTTTATTGTTCTCATTGCTCCTGACAGAAGGGCAGTTTGGACAGGAGGGAATGGTTAGGGAGCAATGGCTGGAGGCTGTGGGTGGAAGGGATGAGGCTGAGGAAGGGGACACTTCACCCCAGTGGAAGGTGCTCTGGGTACCTGGTGGGCAGCTTGTCTTCATAATTAGCATGAAATGCACTAATGGAGGTGTTGGAGTGGGGTTGGAATCTCATTGCACCTTGTGTTTGGCTCTGCCTCGGGTATCTGATCCCCTGATCACACTGGTGCGTCTGTGCGGCGTCCCCACCTTGAGGCAATGCTGAAGCTCTTGCTGTTGTTACAATAAATATTCTTACATTTTCAAGCCTGAGCACTAAATTGGTGGCTTTCAGCAGTTCTCTAATTATGTGAGACATTTTTTGTTCTTAACAAATGGTTCTTATTCTTGCCAGCACTTCAGCCCGGTGTTCTAGGACTGTGGGTGTCAGGGAACAGAACATATTTCTGTGTCTGTGAATATGATCCCACACGTTGTCTTAAGTGGGAAAATGTTCACAGCCCTTATATGGTGAGGGATTTTTTTTCCCTAAATCCATCAGAGCTCTCTCCTGCAGTAATAACGCAGTTTGATCTTCCTGGTGCTCTGTGGGATGGGGATGGATTAGGAACCAGAAATACGAAATGGGCTTTCTTCTTTTCCTGGCAAAAGTATCCTGTGGTGTGACCTGCTCTGCTTCATAAACCATTCAGGAACTGGTTCTAGAAGTGGTTGATGATTTTCAACATCTAGTCAACGTAGAACTGCTAAGCTGATAGGTTCCTGGGAGCAGCCACGGTGCTGTGTCTCCTGGTGTTATGCATCTCTTCTGCATTTTCCCTGTGAGTTCCCACACTCCTTGTTGTGCTCAGCTGTGTCGGCAGCAGCGTTGCAGTCTCCTGGCCCTGTAGGCAGCCAAGGACTGCAGAAAAAGCTGAGATGTCTGTGTGCCATGGCACAGTGACATGTGCCACAGTGATGTGCTGTGCTCTCCTGTCCTGTGCCAGAGGTATCTCGGTGTGTCATACAAGTGAGATTTGGGGAATACATGAGTTAGAGAGTGTCCAAAGGAGGGACATGAAGATGGGGAAGGCTCTGAGGGGAAGCCGTGTGAGGAGCAGCTGAGGGCACTTGGTCTGTTCAGCTGGAGGAGACTGACGGGAGACCTCATTGCAGTTACAACTTCCTTGGGAGGGGAAGAGGAGGGGCAGGCACTGATCTATGTTCTTTGGGGACCAGGGACAAGACCCCAGGGAATGGCCTGGAGTTGTGTCAAGGCAGGTTTAGGTTGAATCTCAGAAAAAGATTCTCCCCCCAGAGGGTGGTTGGGCACTGAACAGGCTCCCCAGGGCAGTGGTCACAGCACCAAGGCTGCCAGAGCTCCAGGAGTGTTTGGATGATCCTCTGGGGCACGTGGTGTGACTCTTGGGGATGGTCCTGTGCAGGGCTAAAGGTTGGACTTGATGATCCTTGTGGATCCCTTCCACCTCAGCAGATTCTGCGATTCTCTCGTGGCACAGTGACGTGTTCCCTCGTGATGTGCTGTGCTCTCCAGTCCTGTGCCAGAGGTATCTTTCCACATCATGCAGTGACATTTGGGGAATACATGAGTTACCCAAGCACCTCATGGTGTCCTGAAGACATGTTGGTGAGAGACTGGTTACAGACTCATGAACACATGAAGCAAAGAGTGAAGAACTCTTTTTACCCTCCAGTGGTATTATTCCATACTCATTTTTGCATTAGATATTCCTGCGCAGTGGCATAATGCCCCCAAACCCTCTTGGTTTGTAAGAGGAAGGCTTTGGTCATGTATGAGAGGAGGAGGAGGAGGAGGTGTGAGGCTCTGTCCATGGTGCTTGCTGTGAAAGCTGGAGGCAGAGGGGAGGATGGACAGACTGCAGTGGAGCTGCTGTGGTGGCCCAGTATGTGTTGTGGTGCCATCAGCATTGGGAGGCCCCTGGATGGAGGAATGTGTTGGTGCCCAGCCTGTGGGGTCACCCAGCCTGGAGAACCACCACCTCAAAGGAGGAGTACCCAGCTAAGGGGACAGTAGTGGCATGAACATGGATGCTGTTATCCATGGGTGACCAGTGTCACAGAACTATAGAATGAGTGGGGTTGGAAGGGTCCTGTGGAGATCATCCAGTCTACCCTCCCCTGATAAAGGAAGTTCACCCAGAGCAGGTTGCACAGGAACCCACCCAGGTGGGATTTGAATATCTCCAGAGAAGGAGACTCCATGGCCTCCCTGGGCAGCCTGTTCAGTGCTCTGGCACCCTCACAGTAAAGAAGTTTTTCCTTATATTCATGTGGAACTTCCTGTGTTCCAGTTTGTGCCCATTGCCTCTTGCCCCATAGCTGGGCACCCCCAAGCAGAGCCTGGTCCATCCTCTGACTCCTCCCTGCAGACACTGACAGACATGGATGAGGTCCCCTCTCAGTGTCTCCTCTCGAGGCTGAACAGCCCCAGCTCCCTCAGCCTCTCCTTGTAAGGGAGATGCTCCAGTTCCCTCATCATCTCTGCAGCCTCTGCTGGACCTGCTCCAGGAGCTCCATGTCCCCCCTGTCCTGAGGAGCCCAGAACTGGACACAGCACTGCAGATGTGCCTCACAGGGCTGAGCACAGGGACAGGATCCCCTCCCTGACCTTCTAGCAATGCTCTTCCTTATGCCCCCCAGGATCCCACTGACCTCCTTGCTCCCCCGGATACGCTGCTGGTCATGGATAGCTTGTTGTCCACCAGAACCCCCAGGTCCTCCTCCACTAAGGATTCCTTCCTGATGTGCCATTTTGGGGAGCAATGGTCTGCATAAATCTTGAGAACAGACCCCATTACTACATGTGTATTTGTATAGGAATTTTTCTTCGGACCATAAAATGCAGTTTTCTTTATTTGTTGTCCCATGGTTGCAGATGCTGCAGTGTTTTTTTCTAAGGGATTTTTTTCCCTACTAAAGCCATTTTTCAGGATTCCAGCAGAAGTATCCATGCAAGAGGCCACACTAAAAACTGTCACTGAGATGCTTGCCTGTGTGAGCACATCAGCTCTCCAACCTGGGCACAGAAACTCCTTAAAGCCAGGATTTCTGGGCATTTTCCAAGGCTGTCTGTGCCTTCATCCTGCCAGGGAAAGGCACTCTTTTAATGGGATGTCATTACCACTGCTCAGTGATCATTTCCATTCTTAACAGCAACAATATGGTAACTTGGACAAGCTAAAAATTGAGCTTCAGGACCTGCCAATCAGAGGTCTTTAATCAGAGCTGCTATTTTTGGGGAGACAGATTTAGCATAAATAGGTGTGATGCAAAGTGTCGGACTCTATTTAGTCCTTGTCCAAGACATCTTCCTTTTGGAATGGTGACTTTGTATAAAATTCATCACCAAGGTCACTCTGCATCCATGGGGAGGGCCGGGAAAAAACAGAGACAAAGTAGCTGAATAATTTGTTTTCTTCCTCAGTTTTTCTTTAATATAAGTCCTTTCGTGTGAAATACAACAAAGAAAATATTTTCCAGGACGGTAAAGTGCTGAACCTTCTTGTGGGGGGTATTTTTGGTGCAGTAACTTAGAGTTGTTAATTGCTGGCAGATTCCAGCCCGTGGAGCTCAGTGGGATTCCCTGGGCTGTTGATGGATTTGGAGCTGGTCCACCACTGTCTGTAGAAACACTGAGCTCCACAGCTCTATTCGGAGTACGGTACTTTAACGCACTCCTGAGATTTCTTTATTCCCTCACACAGTGTTTGGGTTTGGTGGTGATTTTCCCACCTTCCAATGTGACATATTGTGTCTCAGCAGAAAGACTCCTCTGTTGTCATCTTTGTTCTTCACCCTGATGTCCCCCAGCCCCTCCACCTCCTCAGGCACTTCTAGGAACCAAACTAGGACAGGGATAAGGAGACTGGTATTCCAGGCAGGTGGTGGAGTCCCCATCCCTGGAGGTGCCCAAGGAACAACTGGATGTGGCACTCAGTGCTCTGAGCTGGGTGACAAGGTGGGGATTGGGCACAGGTTGGACTTGATGGTCTGGAAGGGCTTTTCTAACCTCAAGGATTCTGTGGTTCTGTGATTCTGTTTCTCAGGACTTGCATCTCCTCTGTGCAGCTCCTACAACTGGGAAATCATCCACAGAGTTGGTGAAAGCAGAAAAGACTCCATCATTGTGAGCTGTCAGATTAGCCTGGGATTGGGTAAATCTTACTTACTCCTGCTAGATTTGACCCTGACTGGTCACCCCAAACTCCTTATGAGTTATGTGGTCACTTAGAGAAAAGCAGAGGTGGGATTGGTGCCTGATGCCATCAGGAGATGGTCTCTGATCCCAGCTCCATTTGGAACTCTTGTTTTTGCCCTGGAGATGGTAACAAGCAGCTCCCAATCCGTCTTTTCCATGCCACCTAGGGATGGGTAGATATCTATCCTGTTTCCCATAACTCATCCCTTTTATAAACTGACCTACTTAGTGACTTTCACAGAGAAGTCCATCCCTTTGCCCGTCCTTTCATCGTATTTTGAGCATTTTCCATACCCAGTATGTCCTTCCTTTTTATTTCAATGAGGGAATGGGGTTCTATAGCTTTAGAATAGCTCTGAGAAACTTT